ATTTATATTATATGTTCATTTTTCAGAAGGTTTATTAAAACTACATTTCCATTTGACTTCATTGTATGTGTAATTTTTCAGTAGGCTTTTGAACAAATACATTTCCCTCTGGTTTTTTACACTATCTAATCATTATTTATCTCTCCTCTCTCCCTGTCTAACCCTCCCGGATCCCTCCCCAGTTAAAGTATCCTCATTTTCCCCATTTCACTCTGTAACCCTGGTTTGCCTGGAACTTACTGTACAGACCAGGCTGGCCTCCAACTTAAAGAGATCTGCCTGCCTCTGCCTCCTGAGTGCTGGGAACAAAGGGGCACCCGTACCACACATGCTTATCTTCAGCCCTCTTAATGGCTACTAGGCAAGATGTTAACCCTCAGAGTTCATCCATTTCTTAGAGTCATGCCAAACTGAACTCAGAATCAGAAACCACAGATTAGCAGGCATCTAAACAGTCTCTCTGCCCCAGTGCTACAATATTTGCAGCAGCCAATTCATTGAAGCAATTCATGACATTTTTTTCACTGCTCTCTGAGCTTTACCAAGGATCTAGATGTTGCTAGGATGGTGGGAATTTTGACCAATTCCTTTTTCTGAGAGATGACATGACAGAGAGAGTCTATGAGTAATTCTCTCTCTCTCTCTCTCTCTCTCTCTCTCTCTCTCTCTCTCTCTCTCTCTCCTGTTTTTGTGTGATTCTGGGAATTGAATCCAGGACTTTTCATATGTAAGGCAGGCACTCTAAGTGACATGAAAACATATTTCTTTACCATAGTATAAGAGACTGGCCAGTGGTCTAGGAACTTTTGACTAATGCAGTGTTCTTGGCAGGCGAGGCTGTTCCCAGGGTCTAGAGGACGCAGACTTTAACCCTCAGAATGCATTGTACTCGGCTTGATTTTGTTTGTTTTTGTCTTTTAAGACAAGGCTTCCAGGTAGCTCCAACTGGCTTGGAACTTGCTATGTAGACCAGGCTGGCCTAGATCTCACAGTGATCCAGCCTGCCTCTGCCTCCCAAGTGCTGGGGTCAAAGGTATGTGTCATGATGCCTGGCAAAGGCTTGATTTATTATTTAGAGAGATTAGGTCCCTGATCTTCCTTAGACTAACCCATAAATAGGCAACAGGGCATCAGCATCATGTAGGTTTTCATCCAAAGCCAAGAAACAGATTACCTTCAGATCTTTAAATATGAAGGATCAAATTTTGGGCACAGAGAATGTATATGAAAATGTTTTGTACAGTTTGACTGTCTCTTTGTGTCTTAGAGCTGACTTGATCAAACTTTTATCAGAGCTTGGCTGCTGCTTCTGCCTCTGATACTGTTCACTACAAACACCAATACCATTACCAGGTTCCTAGCCACAGCCACTCCTAATACTTTGATTGCTGGGCCTGCTACTGCCATTCCTTCTGACTTCCTGTGTCAGACACTCCTTTGACTTTTCAACAGTCCCATGAGGACAGGACTATTATTATCACCATTTTAAGGATGAGAAAATGGAGATACTGAGAGATCTGGTAACTTCCCCAACCATTTAGCAGATAGAGACTCGCTGTACTCTTAGTTGCTAAAACTTACTTTCCTTTTGCAAAATTTATTTTTATTGTATATATCTAAGATGTATAACATGTTGTGACACACACACACACACACACACACACACACACACATAATGACCACATGTAAGCAAATTGTCTATTTCCACTGCACTGTGGGCAGCACGGCCATGCCAAGTTACATGGGATAGCTTCTCCTTTCCAAAGTCACTGAAGTGCCTTAAGGTCACTAACTTGTTCTTCCTTGGCTGGCCATAGCTTGTCTTCTGCTCTTGTTTTGAGCAATTAGGGCTTGACACTAGTGGTCATGGGACACTGGAGGTGACTCCAGCTTTGCCTTTAGTTTCTCTGTATACAAAGGTTCCTTATCTTCTCCTATTTCCAAGCCCTTGGCTGTGAACACATGAGTTTCCTGCTTCCTAACCTGGCATTTTCTTCAGGTGTCAACCTGTTCCCAGAAGCTGGTATATTTAAATCAATGATTTTTGGGGTTTGCCTCAAGAACACATTTGGCTATATTTGGATACATTTTTGGTTATCACAGAAGGAAGTGTACTTTAATTAATTAACCATCCTACAATGAATGGGACAACCCCAAACAACAAAGAATTGTGTCTTGTAATGTCAGTAATGTTGACATTGAGAAAAAAATCTGGTCTTAGAGAAAGAGGACTTTGTGTTAATTTTAAAAGTACATTTGCTTGATGTGTTAGTAAACCTAATTTTTTTGAGACAGGGTCTCATATATGCCAGGCTGGTCTCAAATTTACTCTGTAACCCAGAGAATAACATTGAAAACTGATACTCTCGTTTCTACCTCCTAAGTACTGGGATTAAAGGCATGTACCACCATGCCCAGTTTATGTGGTGCTGGGCATTTAACCCAGGACTTTGAGTAGCACTCTACCAACTAAGTTAAATCTTCAGCTCTGAAACTATTTCTTTACAGTGACTAATTTGCCAAGAAAACATGTAGAACCCCTTCCCTCTAACATTGTCATATGAGGGGGTGAACCTTGGTCTATCTCTGGATAGCTCTCAGAGTAACATACAGAGCCCAGGAAATGGCAGAGAAACAGACCAGAGAGACACACTCCATCCACACTGAAAGCTACCCTTGCTCAATGTGCAGGCACAGGAGCCTCTAATGTTGAGGTGGGTCTGAGGTTTATTCTGCAGTAACTGGCATTGCTACTGCATCCACATAAATAGCATTGCTGCATCTTTACTCTTTTTGGTCACTTATTTCTGTCATCTGAAGGGTGCTTCTAGCTCTTAGCTAATTTTCAATGTTCCTGACATTTAACAATGATCTGGCTTAAGCCTAAGCTCTGTTGATTTGAGTTTTGATGTTTAAGGAGCCTTCTGAGCATGGGATTCATTTAGTTGTTGATGTATTCATAAAATTATATCATTATACAATGAGAAAAAAAAAACAAAACAACAGACCTTCCATTCAGAGGGCACCTAATGAGATCTAATCAAGTGGATTCAGGCCCAAGTTCTATAAAGCCTAACATAATAACAACACCTGGGAAGTGCTGTACAAAATTGATGTGACCCGGTAAGAAGGCACACTCGCAAGAAAAATTCTGTAAAGGAAAGTGGTGCAGCACTGAGCATCTGGGGCTTCATGCAGGTGTTCTTTTGTAGTCTTTTCTTTTGGCAGCTGAATGCTTGGCAAAACAAAGTGTCTGGGTGGGTAGAAAAACAGACATGCTGACTTTAAGGAAGACAAATGTAAAAAAACCACCAAGCCTTCCAGCAAAGGGAGAACTTTCCTGCTGGGTCGGGGTGGGCTGAGTTTGTGTCTTTCTAGGATTCAAGTGTGGAAGGCACAGAACAAAGCATCTGCTACACATGACTTAGAGGTGAAGTCCCGTCTCATCTTTCCCTTTCCAAATTTTTGCTCCTTCCTAAACATCTATGAGCACTGAGTAGCTTATGCTGATTTAGACTTGGGAAAAATGAGCACATTTGAAAACTTAAATTTTAATAAAAAGATCCGGCAATTGAATTCTTTTGTGGGAATTCTCATGAGTGGAGGGACAGGTCAGACAGTCACTCTGGATTCCCCATGTCTTACGGGCTTCATTGTACTTATTAGTCTCAAATATTTCTGCTTTCTAGATACTTAAACACACAAAGCTTTTATCTCAATTTGAGAAAAGTACACTGCTTGGGAGTTGACATAACACATTATTACTGCTTCCAAATAAGATTTAGGACATGAACGGGTGTAAGCAGTTATGTCCTATGATGGAGTCAACTTCTTAAAAAGATGAATAGCTTTAATCTATGGGTATAACAATAAGTCATCAGGAGTCTGTTTAATACTATTATCTATTTAACAGAATAATAGTGTTAGGCTCCCTACTATGACCTCTGATCTGACTAGCCACAGGTTCTTAGGCCTGATATCAATGTCAGGTATGGGCTTCATCTTATGAAGCAGACCTGAAATCCAATTATAAAGTGATTGGTTACTCCCATCGCATTTGTGCTATTATTGCACCAGTGGGCATATCTTGCCAGGCCAGTTGTTAATACATCTCTCAACTCTCACCAGAGAAGTTTCCTTATGCAGAAGGTTAACGGAGAGACTCATAACTGGCCAATGTGCAGAGAATAAAAGGCTGAAAAGTATGTACCCCTGACTAGAACACCTATATCAACTTTTTGCTACTCAAGGTCAGGGATCATTGGGGAAAACAGGGTAGAAAGACTGTAAGAGCCAGAGGTGACCTCAGGGAAATGCGTTTTCCATACAGCTGATCAGTTACTTACAGCAATGGTGACAACACACACAAGTCCCACATAAACTCAAGCCAGACAAAATCCCAGCATAGAAGTGGGAAGTGGGCAAGAAACTCCAACCTTACCCGAGGAACTAGTGGCAACCAATGGCTGCTGGGAAGGGGAGAGTCAGTCTTGTTTAAGGGTGTTACTCCTGGTAAGTTAACTAGAATCCAATGAATGGATCCACACCAAAGGGCATTTAGGGACACAAACCTGATTCTATAGGCCCTAAAATTTATATATATATATATGTAAAATTGGGTAGAGTGTAGTAAGGGGGTACAGATAGGGGAGAGGGTCTAAATGCAATTCGAATACATTGTATAAAATTTGTAAAAAGTCAATAAAAAAGAAATAGCTGCAAAAAACAAAATAAAACAAAAATTTTAAAAGATGAATAGCTGGCAGGTACTCTTTGAATAACTAAAAGCATAGAGGTTCTTAGTGTGAGCTTTAAATCTCAATAGTTTTAACATAAAATTGATCTTCACTAGCTCTGCCTTCTGGAGAAAGGCTGCAGATGACAGGACTCTGGGATAGGAATCAAGGAAGGTTTGTAAACTGAAAAAAGCAGAGAGATGAAAGCTGTATCTGATGATCACACATTTGGCACATTCTGAATTAACCAAGGATTCCTCTTACCGTCATTGGAGCCAAAGCTTCCATCAATGGCTTTCCTCTGGAACCTGTGAATAAGCACACACATTCTCTAAGAGTCAGCATTTTACAGTGGTTTCTTAGACACTTTGTTGCAAATTTGTCTGCTAGAATCTCTTAAAAATTGGCTTTGGAGAAATTACTAATAGCAACTTAAAATGGTATAGTCATTTGGAAAACAGTTTGGCAATACCTCAGAAAGTTAAATATAGAGTGATCATATGATGAGCCAGGCACATACATCATTCATTAACATTCATTTATTAATTTTCAGATATAAATTCACAATACATTTTCCTTTTAAAGCATGTGATTCAATATTTTAATGTGTTTGAAAACGTGCAATTATCACCATTATCTAGTTTATTTGCTTATTTATTTAATGTGTATGTGTGTATACCTGGGTGTATGTATGTGTATCATGTGCATGAAGGTGCCTTTGGAAGTCTGAAGTGGGTGTAGGATTCCCTGGAACTGGAGTTACAGGCAGTTGTGAGCTGTCTGATGTGGGTGCTGGGAAATGAACTTAAGTCTTCACAAGAACACAAATGCTCTTAACTGCTGAGTCATCTCTCAATTCCCAACCACCACTATCTAATTTTAGGACATGTTCACAGTCCCCAAAGAAACCAACCCTGTGTCTATTATCAGACGGTTTTCATTCTCTCCTTCTCCTAGCCCTAGGCAACCACTAATCTGCTTTCTGTCAGTAAATTTGCCTACTTTGGACATTTTATATAAACGAAATCACAGCACAAGTGAATGCTTTTGACTGGCTTCCTTGATTTAGCATGTTTTCCAGGTTAAATCATGTTAAAGTACATCTCGGTCCTTCAACATTTTTATGGCTGAATAGCATTCCACTGCACATGCATGTGAGTGAGTGGTGTGTGTGTGTGTGTGTGTGTGTGTTCCATTTCATTTGCTTTCACTTGTTGGCCATTTTTGTTGCTTCTGTTTGCTGGTATTAGAGTAACTCTGCTAGGAACGTTTGTGTACATGTTTTTCTATGAACACATTTTCATCTCTCTTAGGTAGATGCCTAGAAGTGAATTGTTTGACATGAGGTAACTCTGTTTAATTCTTTTTAAAGCTGTTTTCCACAAAGTGAATATAGCAGTGTTGTTTTACATTCCTACCACCAAGGTCTGAGGGTTCTAATTTCACTATATCCCTACCAACTCCCACTTTCTATTTAAAACGTTTTTTTTATACCTAACCTTTAGTTTGACTCCTCACTGTAGCCTTGAGTTGCATTTCCCTAATTGCAAATGATGAGCATTTTTTCATATACTGAGTGGGAATCCATTTACCTTCTCTGGAGAAGTAGCTATTTAAATCTTTTACCCATTTTATCACCAAGTCGTAAGAATTTTTACTATTATCTAGATAATTCTTACTAAATATAAGGTATTCAAATAATTTTTCTCTCATTTTGTGGGCTGTATTATTACCTTAGTAATGTGCTTTTTAAAGCATAAAAGGTTTGATTGTTTATAAAGTTCAACTTATATATTTTTCTTTGGACGCTTATGCTTTTGGTAACTAAAAGAACTGTTGCCTAACCCAAGGTCTCAATTTGCATGCATATTTTCTTCTAGGAGTTCCGAGGTGCTCGGTCTTACACTTGGATCTTTGATCCAATTTGAGTTAATGTTAGTATATATTGTGAGGAAGAGGGCCAACATCATTTTTTCCATATGGTTATCTAATTGTAATAGTACTATCTGTTGAAAGTAATATTTTTTTCTCTATTGAATTGTTTTGGTACACTTTTTGAAAACTGACCATTAATGTAAGAGTCTATTTGTGGGCTCTCCATTCTATCCCATTTACTTATACTAGCTGTAGAATCTTGGTTTTTATGGCTTTGCAATGAATTCTGATCTCAGGATGTATAAGTCCTCCAACTTTGTTCTTTTTTTCTTCACGATTATTTTGGCTATTCTTTTTGTACATCAAAGGAAACAGTTAATTGAGTGAAGAGACTGCCCACACAATGGAATAAAATCTTTGCCAACTATACATCTGGTAGGATTAATAGCTATAATATATAAAAATATCAACAAATTAAATAACGAAAAATCAAACAACCCAATCAATAAATGGGCTGAGGCAGTGAACCGGCATTTTTTCAAAAGATGAAATTCAAAGGACCAATAAATATATAAAAATATTCAGCTTCACTAGCCATCAGAGAAATGCCAATCAAAATTACATTGAGATTTCATCTTAGCTAGTCAGACTGGCAGTCATTAGGAAAACAAGTAACATCAGATGCTGGAGATGATATGGACAAAAGAGAACCCTTATGCACTACTTGTGAGAGTATGGAACAGTCCAGCCACTATGGCGGTCAGTGTGATCTGACATATAACCCACATATATCATAGGTGTTTACCCAACGGACCCCAAGTTGATATATCACAGAGATTTTCATGTCTGTTTTCCAGCCATAAAACAAAGTTATGTCATTTGCTGGAAAATTCATGCAACTGGAGATCATATTAAGTGAATTAAGCCAGTCTCAGAAGGACAAATATCATGTTTTCCCTAATTTGTGGTTCCTTAGATTTAAATAGATACAGAAAATCATGTGAGTATAAATGAAAAAAAAGATTATTTTGGCTAGTCTGTGTTCTTTGTATTTCCACCTGAACTTTAGGATCTGTTTGTCAATTTCTAGCCTGGTGTGGTGGCACATGCCTTTAATCCCAGCACTCAGGAGTCAAAGGCAGGTGGATCTCTGTGAGTTCAAGGTCAGCCTGGTTTACACAGTAAGTTCCAGAACAGCTGGGGCTACAGGAAGACCCTGTCTCAAAAAGGCCAAAAAAAAAAAAAAAGGCGAGAAGGCCTTTGGATTTTCATGGGTTTCTGGTGGGTTTTATAGATAATTTTATAGATATTTTTTTTGTATTTTCTTTTTTTATTTGTGCAGAACTTTAGCATTATGTCCAGGCATGGTGGAGCAGGCCATTAATCCCAGCACTCTGGAGGCAGAGGCAGGCTGATCTCTGTGAGTTCAAGGCCAGCCTGGTCTACATAGTAAGTTCCAGAACAGCTGGGGCTACAGGAAGACCCTGTCTCAAAAAGGCCAAAAAAAAAAAAAAGCCAGCTGGGGCTTTGACATTGACAGGGATCATGTGGAATTTATGGATCAATTTGATGAGTATTTCCTTGTATATTAATTTTCTACTTCTGCAACAAATTATCCCAAATATAATGGCTTTAAAGAACACAAATTTATTTACCAGTTCTGGTTGTTGGGATAAAGCATATCTTATGTGTGTGGTAAAATCAAAGTTTCAGAGGGGCTGCGTCTCTCTCTTGAGGCCCTGGGGAGCGTTCTTCCCTTACTTTTTCAGGCTCATAAGGGCATCCTGCAATTCTTGACTCTAGCTCCTTCCTCTGCATCCAAGGTACCTCACATCATAGTTAGATTTTCTTCTTCTGCCTTTGATTGCACTGCCTCTTTCTCATAAGGACCCTTGTGATTACCTTAAGTCCATGTGGGTAAACCAAGGTAATGTCCCAAGGTGATTACATCTTTTCTTTACCATGCTAAGTAACCTAGTCAGAGATTCTACAGACTAAGACCTAGACATCTTTTGATGGCTTCTGTAACCACACCATCTAACAATAACATGCAAACTTCATAATAACTTTCTTTTCTCTATTTATGTAGTTTTTTCTAATTTTTTGAGATGTTTTCTAGTCTGTAATGTACAAATCTCACACCTAATTTGTTAACTATACTCCTTAGTATTTTAATCCTTTAGATGCTTTTGTAAATGAATTGTTTTCCTAATTCTGTTTTTTGATTGTTCACTGCTGGTGTGCAGAAGTTAAACTGTTTTGTATATTGATCTTATATTCTGCAATCTTGTTGAACTTAGGCTTTCTTTCTGGAGCAATGGTAATATTCTGAAATGAGATATTCAGTGGTGGTGATCATGCAGCTGTGACTGTACTAAAAACCCCTGAGTTGTACACTTTAAGGGGGCGATGTGACTTATGAATTTTATCTAGATGTACCATTTGGGAATGTCTCTCAAACATTAGCCTCTTCTTTCAATGTGAGGTTAGGGGGATGGAGCTCATGCTTTGATTCACATGACTCTAGAAACTGCAAACCCCCATCTTAGTGTGTTCTGTGGAAGAATTTCTCTTTGAACTTCCTTTTCTCTTAGACAGCAAACATTCCTATGTCAGGGCTTTGCTCTTGCTCTCTGGCGAGGCAGCTCTCTCCCCCAGATCCTCGCATGGCTGGAGTCTTCTTGCCATTTGAGCCGTGTTTCTGAGTGGCCTTCTCTACTGACCAGATTAAATCTGAAGCAGAGTCCCACCAAGTCATTTTCTACCTCGCCTTTGGGCTTCTTCTCCCCAGCCACTGGCTGCAATGGTTTTCTCTTGTATTGCTTACTTGCTTAATGTTTCTCTGTTTCATAGTGATGGCTGTAGTAGAGTAGGGAATCTAGAAACACTTTTCTTGGACCTCCAGGATAGGGCCTGACATGCAGGAGATGACAACTAAATATTTGTTGATTGACAAAACATATCACTGAGGAGAACAGTTAAGATTCTGCTTGACTGTTCCGGCCAGCACATGAGGCTGTAGGGAAGGAAGTTCTCTCTGATCAATTTTAGTGATGCTTATAGGCAAATATTACCTGGACTCCTAGAAGACAATATATTTGAATTAATGGCCTTTTCCCACATTTACTTTAGCTTTTGGAACTGCTAACATTCTTCATAAGAAGAGCTGAGTAATTTATACTACTAAAGTGAAGCAGGAAACAGCCAGGGAAAAAATTTAAAAGCTAGCAAATGAGAACGGTGCTACATGGGTTGCAATGGGTGCACTTCGCCAAGCAATCTGGAAATGGGCCTGGCCTCATGATTCCTTCTGCTCTCTTAGATGAGGGGAAAATACTTCTGATCCTACAGCTTGAGCAGCCTTGTGCTTTTCTACTCTTTCTCTCTGAGATACAACAATTCCAAGAGCCTACTGGAAGATGAAAGACCAAGTGCCACCAAGGCCATTCGAGGACAGCCAGCATCTCCAACCTGCCACAGATCACACTCTGTAATTGCATCTAGCTGAGATCTCCAAGCCCAACTCTGAATATAAAAATGTCTCTGAATTGTATACTTTAAAGGGATGAATTGATGGTTTATGATTTTTTTTTTCTCAAAGAAACTGTTTTTCTAGATATAGCATTTGAAGATACCAGTCAAAGCAGAGCCATCAGCTAACCCATAGATTTCGGAGCAAACTTAAATGGTTATTGCTATATGCTACATATGGTTGTTTAAAATGCAACATTATTGTGGCAATTAATAACCAGTAAGATAATCAAAGGGAAGGCTGAGTACCCAGGACTGGACTTAATGTCTGGCAGGGCGATTGGAAAAGAGTAAGAGAACCCATATGCAATGCCTGGCTCTAAGCCTGCATATCTATACATCTATTGCGGGGGTGGGGGATGGGTTAACACATGCATGTTGGAGAGGTTGGAGGTGAGACAGAAGGAAATGGTGTTCATGTGGCAGCACAGCATGTAGATACGTGGATACTCTTAGCTCTCCAGTGCTGGGCCATGTTCTCACAAGTAAACTTACAGCATGTGCTACAAATCCCACATGTGTTGGTAATAAGGATAAGGACTCATCGAGAAGACGGCATTAGTCTGAGCAGACAGGTTTCTTACAGTTCTGTGGAAAGTTTGTTTGACTTAGTTTAATGAAGGAAAGGTTCTCCTATTAGCATTTTTCCTCCATCGAGTCCCCTATTTAGAATGCCAAATGGTTCCTATGCCTCTAGCTTTCTATTTTCAGTTTGTCTGTGTTTGGAAAGAACCTATCTATGCTTGTGCACTTGACTGTAGCAAAGTCATCTTCAGCAAAGTTTCACAGAGCTTGCTCACTTAGCTGACTGAGTAATGACTTTAGAGAGACTAGTAATCACCTCACCAGTAGCTTGCTTTTTGTCTGTGTTGCTAGTGCTTGTGTGCTGACTAAAGAGAAACAATTCTCTTTTCTAAAATCTAAAACATAGGCATGGAGGGTCTTGCAGAAGACACGTTCTTTATGGTGATATCAGCGCTCATCTGAGGTACAATGGGAAACTTTGGGGCTCTTTTCAATTACATCCTTGTTGAGGAGATAGACTTCTGCTTAGACCCCTGTGGCCCAAAACTGTCTTCTCTCACATGTCCCTATCACTCCAAACTCACTTTGATCAGTCTGTCTAAGACTTTAGGACCTGGAGCCAGGCTGCCTGAGTTCAAATTCCAGCTCCTTCATTTACTGACTGCTTAACCCCTCTTTGCTTCAATTTCCTTAACTTTCACATAGTGATAATAATAGTATCCTAATAATAGTAGCTGGGGGCATTAGATGAGGTAATGCACTCGAGGGCTCAGCACACTGCTAGGCACACAGCAGCTATATGAACACATTAATAACTATATTAGATAAATAAGCTGATAATGGTTCATGTACATGCTTTCCAGTATAATACTTGCGTATGGCCTAAGGCCTTGTTTATAGGGGTGAACCCTTCCTCTCACAGTCAGTATTGCAGAGGCACTTTTCTCTGATAGGGAACTTTCTATGTGTGTAACATTGACATAAGCCCAGCAAGCTACCTACTATCTCATTTCACAGTGTATGTGTTGAATTCACCAGATATAACATTATTATCATTATTATTATTAGTAGTAGTAGTAGTAGTAGTAGTAGTAATACTAGTAGTATTGGTCTTTTTGAGACAGGGTCTCCCTGTAGCTCCAGATGGCCTGGAACTCACTATGTAGGCTGGCCTCGAACTCACAGAGATCTGCCTGCCTCTGCCTCCTGAGTGCTGGAACTAAAAGCATGTGCCACCATGCCTGACTACAACATTATGTTTTTGAGTCCATATCTCATGTAGTCTAGTTGATCTTAAATTTACTATGTAGCCAGGGATGACCTTGAACTCTAGATCCTCCTGCCTACCACTCCTGAGTTGAGTGCTGGGATTATAGGTAGATACCACCACATCTAACTCTGCTTTTAACTCTTTTTTTTTCAATGTATATTTTTATTGACTTTTTGTGCATTTCATACAATACATCTTAATATTATTTAGACTCCTCCCTTATCTATACCCTCCATGGCCCACCCATGGAATTTCGTGCATTCTGTCATGTATATTAAGGCCTATAGAGTCAAGTTTGTGTCCCCAGATGTCCCTCGACATGAGTTCATCCACTGGAGCCTGTTTAGCCTGTCTAGCATCATATCCTTAAAGAAGACCAACTCTCCCTCACCCAGCAGTGATCTGCTGCCAATAGTTCCTTGGCTAAGGTTGGGGCCTCCTGCCCATTTCTCTAGTTATGTCCCGGGTGTTTGTCTGACTGAGTTTTCATGGGCCTTGTGCATGCTGCCACCATCGCTGCAAGTTCATATGAGCAAGTTCTCAGAAACCTGGAGGAGTCTGTTTCTTTATGATCATCCAGCACTCCTGGCTCTTATGATCTTTCTGTCCTCTCTTCTACGGTGGTCCCTGAGTCCTGGGTAAGTGAGGTTTAATTTAGTTGTAGGTGTTTAGGTCCTTCCTTGCTTTATGAACATGGACTCTGAGATCTCTATTTTTTTTTTCAAATGGTTTATAATGAATAATTTTCAACTATTTTATTGTTCAAATACTCCCAGATTTGGTTAGTGGTGGTCTTGAAGTTACATTTATTTATTTGTTTATTTATTTATTTTGGTGGTACTGGAACTACTTATGTGCACTAGGGAAGCTCTCTACCACTCAGCCACATTTTCAGCCCTTGTTTTTCTAAGACAGGGTCTCCAATGTTAGCTCAGGTTAGCCTTGAGCTCTATGTAGCTCATGAAGGCTCTGAATTTGCCAAATTCCCTTTCTTCTTCCCGAGTATGAGGATTGTAGGCATGACCAAGGTGGGGAGTGGGAGGTTTGAAGGCAGTCTCTCAACTCAAAAGCTTCATAAGGTTGAGGCAGAGTTGTTTTCTGAGGGATAAATAGGCTCTTGTCAGACATTGCTCTATCTAGGGGGCAGCAAAGAGCTCTTTGTACAGTTGGAGTGCCTCTTGCCTTGTGCCCTCAAAGCTCTGAGCTGACTTTGTTTTCTTTATGTATTTAAGAGGAGAAAAAAAAGTTGCAACCTCCTGCCATTCACTGTAGCTGTTTCTCAGAAAGTACAACAAAAAATGGAATTCTAGAGGTTCAGCCCTGCTGAGAGAGGCAAGGAAAGATTGTTTTAAATTTTTATTTATTTATTTTTAATCAGAGGCTCCAAATTCTTGGGAAGGGAAATTTCCATGATCAAATCACAGCACAGTTATATCCCTTTTTCACCCCAAGAAACATTTTACTGGAAAATCAAAGCTCCTGTAGTAGAAAGGCACTGGGTAGTGTGGTACCAAAGCATGTAACTCCTGCTATGTGGATTGTACCTCAAGATTTATTTTAGGCATTAAATCCACTTTTCCATAGAATTTTTGAGTCTGTTTCTAATCTCCATGTTGGACGAACAGACTGTTTCCTACAGTTGTCTTTTTGTTGAGGTTTCATTATAGTTCCGTTATAATGAAAATTATCAACACTCTTATCAACACTTGCTATGTGTGTGACATTGACATAAGCCCAGTACATTATCAGGTTATTGTCATCTTGTGTCACAGATGAAAAACCTGAAGTACAGAAGGTCACACAGCTTGCCCAGAATCACACAGTTAGTGGCCAGTCTGTGCTCTAGAGCCCGTGCTGTAAGCATCACACAGAAAGGCCAGGGAAATTAGCAGTGCTTGAAAGTTGGGACCTACCTCACATAATGAACAAACACAACAAGCAGGCATCCCAAGTAGAAGGACAAGAAAATGAAGACAATGAAGAGACTGGATTTCACATAAACAGATTCTGGGGAGGGAGAAGCAGCTTCGGTTAGGTTGTCGTCAGGAGTGTGAAGACTATATTGGGGACAGGACATCTTAAAGGGCTGGCCTTCACATCTGTTCTTAAGTGCCAATAAATTTTCACTTAAAGCAGCAGAGCTAAGGGAGGTCGCTGGGAAAGGACCACTGCATATAAGTCCAGAACTGGGTCCTGTCCCCTCCCTCCCTCCATTTTTCCCTTCCCTCCCATTCCTCCTTCCCTTCTTTCTTCCTTCCTTGCTTTATTTTATATATGTATGAGTGTATTGCCTGCATTTATGTACACCCATGACTTGCAGTGCCTGCAGAGGTCAGAAGAGGGCGTCAGATCCCCTGGAACTGGAGTTACAGATGGTTGTCAGCTGCTATGTGGGTGCTGAGGTTCGAACCCAGGTCCTCTGCAAGAACAGCCAGTGTTCTTAACTGTTGAGCCATCTCTCCAGCTCTTTTCCTTCCTTCCTTCCTTCCTTCCTTCCTTCCTTCCTTCCTTCCCCTCCCTCCCTCCCCCCTCCTTCCTTCCTTCTTCCCTCCTTTTTTTCTTTTCTTCTCTCTTTCCTTGCTGTAAGGCCTCACCGTAAGCTGGGCAATCATTCTACAACTAAGCCACACCCCTAGCCTGCTCCTTTTGTTTAGAAAGGGAATTAACAAAGTACTCTGATTCTTCTACATCTATGGCAAATATACTTTAGTTTCCTTATGGTGGTTCCCTTCAAAGAATGACATTAACATTTAATTACTTGGGAGATTTCCTGACACCACAACGACCCCACCACACACGAGAGCAAACACCAACCTTTAATGGAAGGGACGATGGTCACTTTAAGGTTTTTTGTTCGTTGTAGATTCCAGGTCTGGTTCCCATTTTCTGTTAAAAAACAAAACAACAACAAATAAACAAAGCAAGGTGCAATGCACAATGGGTCAGACATTAGATTCTCACCCTCAGTTCCGAACAGTTGTGTTATAAAATGTCCAGAATCAGCTCTGGCTGTTGAGCAAGATTTGAAGGAAATCCCACTTTCAAACACTCAAACAAATCTGATAATATCCTTTGCTTAAAACTCTCACTTTGGCCTTCCCTCAGGTGCGTTTTGACAGCACTAACTGATATAAACGAAGTGAGACAGCAAACTTCCTTTTCCATTGTAAAAGATTTGACCTTTCCCCTGATGTCCATAGACAGCTCAAGAAAAATGTGTAAATATAGAGAGCTGCATCTTTTTTTCCTAGCAGTGAAAATTTGGTTTTTTCTTACATAGTCATCAAAAGGCCTAGAGTTTGTCAAAGAACATCAGATACCAGTAAGCCTATAGAATTATATAATTAAGAGATTACACATACACAAGTAGAAATGTCACCTAATACTGAGGGAGCCATGCCACACTCAACAGAAAACACCCTTTGTGTTGGTGACATATGGCCTATCGGCGGGGGTCTGTGTTCTCAGTCAATAGCCTGTTCCATTCTCTGGGCAGAGCTACTATTTGCATATGCATCAGAGCTTATGTAACCCCTTGTCTTTGGGATAAGCCATCACGCTTGGCTTTCTTACCATTTTGTGAGGTACAATTTTGGCAACTGAAATACTAAGCTCTAAATTTCTTTGTATATCCTTGTGGAAGTGCTGATTATTGATTAGTATAATTGACTCCATCCTAGGAAACCTTTTGGCATTTACTCACGGAAGTGAATATTTTTGAGAAGAATGCTAACTATGGGAACTTAGTCTTTATGGTCTGGTATAAGACTTCAAAAAAGATGAAAAGTATGAAACGGCACTTTTGTAGTAACAGTCCTAACTTCAGATCTATGATTGCTTTCAATTTATTTTTTGTTCATATGTGTCTCTGAGGCCTTGTCAGGTCTCTGCTGCTGATGGGCCTTCAGTGAGAACTAGAGATGAGCTTTTGGTTTTCTTCCCTTCCCTCCCAAGTATTCCCTACCATCTCTTACCCTGGATGGAGAATGATCCTCCACATGCATAATCTTCAGGCTTTATCACAAATACCACGAAGAACTGCTCATCTGGAAAATCCTTCTTCTGTTGTAAGACATAAGAACCTTATTATAGGCAGGTGAGAAAGACAGCCAGGAGAAAGTCCATGGGGGTGAGGGGCAGAAAGAGTGAAAAAAGGTAAAGGTCACCCCTGCCCTCTAACACCCCAGAAAGGGCTTCCACATGCAGTCTACTCCAGATCATCCACAAACTACCACAGCAAAGAAATTAAGATATGTAGGTACAGTGTTAGGGTTTTAAAATTTGTGCCCACTTGAGAACTTGGAACTATAATAAACACCATATAAATGATGACAACAAGAGCTCAGAGTGTGTGTACATGTGTACATACATATATGTACACATATATTTGAGATGGTTTTGCTATGTAATCTAGGTTGGCTTTGAACTCTTTTTAAAGTTGGTGCAATGACTCAGCAATTAAGGGCACTGACTGCTATTGCAGAGGACCCAGGTTCAATTCCCAGCACCCACATGGCAGGTAACAACTGTCCATAACTCCATTTTCTCAAGTTCCTTCATAGGCATTGCACAACACAGGTTTACTTACATAATGCAGACAATACACTCTTACACATAAAAATTAAAAAAAGAAACAAGAAGATGCTGGGAAAAAAGTATATCTGTAAGCAAAGAAGTCATGCAGTCAATAATTAAATAGTGTGGGTAAGGGAGGCAAGGACATGGAGAAGGCGGACTGGGTGGTGCTTCTAGCTTTGACTTCTATAATTGCCCTTCTCTAAGTCCCTGTGGTATATTAATAAGATACGCTTTAAGGTTCATTATAGTTCTTTAACTAAACTTTTTATCATCTCCCAATTTCTGCTATTATGTTTAGTTCACTGAGAAAATTCCAAAACTGAGTTACAGGCTCAGAAGAAAAGTAGCAATTTATTGCCAAGTATATCCAAGATAACATGTATGGCTATGTATTGCCCTTTACTGCCAGATGGTATAAAATCTGAAGTTTCCTCTTGTGGTTATTTTTCTGTCCTTTTTATTTGGGAATTACATAATTCTGGAATGCTGAAGAAGAAGTAAATACCAACAATAAGAACAAATATTTAGGATATAAAATCTGAGATGTTCAAAATTTGAAGTTTGACTATTATACATTTTTAGGTCTGATACCTAAATTATAACTAGCCTCTATCCATTTCATGTTTGTTATTCAGCATGGCCTCACCCTTCAGACAGTACAAGTCATAGGTCCTTCAAGTTCTATAGGATCTCTCTAGGCATGGGCTGACACAAATGTGTGTACAGTTTTGCTCTAAAATCACCACTGAAATCATAGTTCAATTACAAACTGAACAAATATCAAAAAAATAAACTGCTATACAGTAGGCCCATATTCCTTTGACTCTGTTATTCTGTGTAGATTTGAATTCAACTTTTGGTGACTGTTGCTGTTAGAAATTATTAGAATATGTTAAATTGCTTTAAATGCCTCTGATTTGTCCTAAATTGTCACACCCTACTGTCACCTACTGGGTGAACTAGAATCATCTGGCCTTCTTCCTCATAAGCGATCTGTTAGATATATGTCCCACTGCACTGGGGGGCGGGGGGAAGGGGTGTGTGTGTGTGTGTGTGTGTATATGCAAGAATCCCCAAGGGGAAAAGAGAACACTCAGAGGGAGAATATTGCCCACCATCATCTGGGCATTGATTTCAGATATAGCAATAGCAGTTTTGAAACCAATCAGAAAGAAAAGAGACCCCAGGTACCCAGTGGATGACCTTCTCTTTTGGATGCTGGTCCAGTGGGTAGACTGAGCATCACTTAAATTCTGTGAGTGTCATGTCCACAGAAGCAATGTCTCACCTGCAGCGTGATGGCAGCCTTCTTGGTTATGGTCTGGTAGACACCATTAAATTCCACATTGTGGTCCAGGTCATACACTGGGCACTAAAGCATACATGAAGGATTAAAAAAGAAAACACTACTAATGTCATATAAAGTAACTTTATATGTAAGTTCTGTCAGGGTTTTTTCACCTGAATCACAAACAGGGGAGTCTTACTAATCCAGAAGCCATGGGAAGTGTTCTGCAGAACTCTCATGAAATAGTCCTCTTAAAATTTGGTGCTTTGTCCTTTAACATCACAGTTACTCTAACAAGGAGAACTATGGAAAGATTGTATTAAAGTATATAACACCTTTTCCATTTTCGTGAGATAGAGAGGATCTAATGTTGCAAGAAAAAATGTGAAAACAGAACAAGTGTTGGGTTTCAATTATTTTCTCATGGAACAAACAACTGGGTCTTTTTTGTTCTTTGTCATGACTTATCTTCTCTCCTTCCCCCACTTTCTTGTCTTCATATTGGTGGAGTCACTACTTTTTACCTCTTACCCAGACTGCTCAATCCTGTGGCCCAGATGCTGTTACTCTTTAGCAGTGGTGGGATAGATGAATGGTAAGTAAATGAATAGCCCTCTCCCATCTATTCTGGGATAGAAGGCTTACAAGTATCATGACTCACCATGGTGTTCTGCACTGAGACAACTGAACATGGATAAGCCTTTTCCGACACCACTTTAATGATAACTGAGTCCACATCTTCAGGAAATTTGTATAGAAAATACTGAGAATAAGAAAAAGACACAATTTATTAATATTGGGAGGTGTTTTTAATTATGAACTCAAACCATTCCACATGAGTAGAATTACTTTCTTTTAAAATATTTTATTTATTATTTTTATTTTTTCTGTATGAGTGTATTGCCTGCATGTGTGTAATGTTGAGGTTCAGATAGCCCTACCCCCTCACCAACAGGATCCCAAGGACTTCTCATGCTCCTGAGAAAAGGGAACCTAGCTGATAAGCACCTTGGTCTTTGAAGTCAAGAGAAGCAGACTTTTCTTCACTGTTTGACCAACACAGCAGGCTTCCCCTTTGATCTCTAAAGAGGACAGGTTTTAACAGTCCTGCTCTCCTTCTTCCCTCCACCCAACTTTAAAAAAATATATCTTCCTGCCTTCTGTGGGAGGAAGAAGGCTCCCTTTTTAAAAAGACCCCAACTCAAGACCTGGGCAGACATTTTCCCTGCCGGGAAGGGAATCTGTCCCATGTGTTCCTTTGCTAATAAACCCTATTTTGGTGGAGTTTTATCTGTGTCCTGGTGCCTCCTCCTCCATTCACTCGTTCTCCGCCAACTTTTTACCTATCATGTAAGTGCACCCGTGTCATGCAATACCCATGAAAGTCAGAGGAGAGCATTGAATTCCCCTGGAACTGGAGTTACAGACTGTCGTTAGCTGCCATGTGGGTGCTGGGAATCGAACCTAGGTCCTCTGCAAAAGCAGTCAGTGCTCTTAACCACTGAGCCATCTCTCCAGCCTGGAATTGTTTTCTTTACCATTCATGTGAGATTCCTGTGCAAACCTCAGGGAATGTTCATTGCTTCAGTCAACCATTCATCTTGTATGTGTTGAGCAAGCAACTGCTATGCACAGGGCTCCATGCCAGACATTAGGAGCCAGCAGCGAAGAAGGTGAAATGGCCACTCACACAAAGCTGTCTTTTCATTTTATGAAATGAGCATTTCTTTATCAACTAAACTTTATTATATTTCATTTCATTTCCTATCTAAGCACTCTGCTGCCAGCCCCTTTTAAAATTAGAGATATATAGATTGTAATGTCAGACAAGATTTATTTCTGGGTGGTCATTGTGAACTATGAAGCTCTACTTTGAATATAGGATAAGCCTGTGCCTTGAGAATTTTGATCACCTTCCCAGAGGGAAGAATTAGCTCTAGACCATTTTTTTCTCTGAATCTTTTGGTGAAAAAAAAAAGCCTATTTCCTGACTGGCTGGCTATTTTTTGTCAATTTGGTAAAACTAGAGTCACCTGGCGGGGAGGGAACCTCAATTGGAGTGTTGCCCAGAACAGACTGGCCTGTGACCATGCCTGTGAGGCATTGTCTTACTGCTAATTGATGTAGGAGGGCCCAGCTCAATGTGGCAGTCTCATCTCTAGGCAGGTGGATCTGAGTTGTCTAAGGAAAGTAGCTGAGCAAGCCAGGGGGAAGCAAGCCAGTAAGCAGCATTCCTTTACTGTCTCTGTTTCAGTTCCTACCCCCTGGCTCCTGCCTTGAGCTCCTGCCCAGGCTTTCCTTGATGATGGACTGTACAGTGAAAGGTGAAATACACCCCTTCCTTCCCCAAGTTGTTTTTGGTCAGTGTTTTATCACAGAAACAGGGAAGCAAACTAGGACACTGGTGAGATATTCTGAGAAGATATTTAGATCCAAAAACTAAGTTCTACCTTGAGTCCCTGAGGCACCTATAAAATTATTTCTCACATTTTTGCAGATTCAGGTATCATCTCTAAGAGAAAGAGGTGACACTATTTACCTACCTCAGTTATGAATTCATTGGAAGAGGATATTAACTCTTAAATCTTACACATGTTTAAAAATGGAGAGGAAAGAATTTTGCCCATAATTACAAATGTGGAAACTGGATAAGAACAATGCCAAGTTTATAATTAAGACTTTGCAGAAACCAACCCAAACAAGTCTTAGATTTCTAGCAAATATATCACTTTCAAAAAGAGGCCAAAAAATATTAAACTTTAATTTTTATTCCAGTATCCCCTTCACTAATCCTGTTTTGAGAACTAGTTCAATATGAATAGAATGTCAAGATTAAGAAGTGCCACTGCTACTTCTGTTTAGAAATCTCTTCATGCTGTGTAACTGATGGCAATAGCCCAAGAACCCACTGCATTTGGAGCTGGATCAAATATATTTAAAACTGGGTTATTTAAAAGGCAAAGAGCTTAGAGGTCCCAAGGGGTGTTCTTGGTTCTCAGGAGAACCATGCTGTGTAATTCAAGAGCATTATTGTAATTTTTGTTAGTAATGATACTCTCTCTCCCCTGTATACCATAGTAACTGATTTTGTGTAGGCAGTCAGCATTTTGTTAACACATTAATATGTCAAAGTATTATCAATCTTATTTATATCTAAATTACTATAAACCCCAAAGGATTATTTTAGAGCCCTGCCTTGGTAATACACTTTAGCCAGAAACTATCAGAGCAATGGTTGGAATTTAGGCTAAAAATCACTACATGGGTCCTGAATACCTGCCCAGTGCCTGCAGCAGTCAGTTCTGAAGTCTGCTTCTATCTATAGAGTACAGGTAGACAACAAAGATTCAGGCTGTCTGAGAATGTGCATGCATTGGGTAATTTTATAGGAATAGAAAATCTTTCCTGCCATCGGAGACTATAAATTACAGACCAAAATGGGAACAGTTTTGTTTTCTTAGTTTGTTCTAAGTATATTCCGCTCAAGTTTGGAGTTTATATACAAAAAAAAAATTGTTGATCATTTATATACAAATTATTTTGCTTTAATGTGTAGATGTCGCTATTTTTTTTTGTCTACAAACACTTCTATTACACTGTAGAGTACATACATTTGTTTGTCATATTTATTAATAGCTCTGCATAGAAGTGTTAGACTATACCTATATTTTATATAGTCAGGGAACAAGTCTTCCCCTTTTCTGGGTATCTCCCATTTTACCTAGTAACTAGTACTTTCTGAAATTTACTTGAATTTAAATGATCAACAAATATTGAGAACAAATTACGACTTATGGCCTTTGTTGCCAATGAGTGTCAGTATACGTGCAGACTTTCACAGGAAAGAAATTTAACTCTAGTTTTGTTGAGAGCCAGAAATGCAGGTTAGTTGACAGAGTAGTGCCGAGCATGTACCAAGCCCTGAGTTCTCTGGCACTACAAAACAAAAGTGGGAATTTGTTCATCCAGGCCTGGCAGCACTGTTTTATACATCTATTCTAGACTCTATGTTGGGTGACATCATGTTGGCTACTTGAAATCATCCATGATGGACATATTTAGTTATTTATACCCCAGGAATGGGCAGAAACTCCACCCCACAAGATAATAACTTAAATATTTACCAGCACACTCGTGACTGTAATAAATTTACAAAGATCCAGTAATATTTAAATAGCAGTTATGCTATATTTACAATTCATATTAACAGTAACTGTTTATAACTAAAATTGTATTAAAATCTTCAGAAAACTTATGGTAAGTAGCACTACAATATATAAACCTTCCCTTGTGTGTGGAGACATCTTGGTGCATAACCTAGGCTAGCTTGGGACTTGCTATGTGGCTTAGACTGGCTACCTCCAACTCCCATTTCTCTTACCTCAGTCTTTGGAATGCTAGGATTAAGATATGCACCACCACACAACAACAAAAACCTATTTTGATCTGGGCGTGGTGGTGCATGCCCTTAATTAATCCCAGCACTTGGGAGGCAGGTGGATCACTGTGACATGGAGGCCAGGCTGGAATGGTCTAATAGTTCCTGGTCAACTGGAGCTACATAATGAGATCCTGTCTCAACACGCTTCCCCACCCCCAAATCCCTATTTTGAATTTGTGATAGTATAGACTGTTTCAGCAACCATGAAAGAAAAAAGAAAGGCAGATAGAAATGTCATAACAAAAACCTTTTAAAAAAATCAACATTTTCATATATTTATTGTTTGTGGTTATTTCTTATTGAGGAGCACATAAAAATAGCTAATTATTTTTAATACAGGAGACACTAATTCAATCTGCCAGTATTCTGGCAGAAATTAAATTGTGTCTTATTTTTATATTTTCAGAACAATCATTTACATATTTTCTGTCAGCCTTCCACTCCCTATCCCCTACCCCACCCTAACTAGGAGGACCATAATGACAGAATGTGTCTCTGCCTTCCTTATCTTTCACCCACAGCACCTAGTACTTGGGACACCGCAGGCACATAATTTTTACTCAGGGAAGATTGCGCCAAGAACATTGAAAACAAATATCATGCTTTCCATTTCACCCCAGTAAAGGCGGTAAGATTAAACGCCATGTCCAAAAACCCCAGTGACAATCCAGAATACATATGTATGTCAAATAGTGTAGGATCAAGGGCAACAGCACTTGTGGCCTCTCCCTGTTTTCATCGGTCCTGTGTGTAACATCAGCAGGGGAGCTCTAAGTAACTGTTGGAACCCTTTACTTACCTGAGGTTGAGAGGGGCTGGCAGTGAAATGAAAGGCAACATTTGTCCTGAGAAATATAAGCGTGAAAAATAGAGAAAAGCATGAGCTGGCAAGCAAAAATTACTTGTTTAATGAAAGCCAACTTAAAGTAGATGCTAAACGCCTTACCCTTTTTAAAAAATTTTATTTATTATTTTTGTTTTATGTGTATAAGTGTATTGCCTGCATGTGTACAAGTGTACCAGTGTTGGGCAATACCTGCAGAGGTCAGAAGAGGGCATCAAATCCCCTGGAACCGGTTCTTAGCTGCCATGTGGGTGCTGGGAATCAAACCCAGGTCCTTTGTAAGAACAGTCAGTACTCTTAACTACTGAGCCAATTCTCCAGCCCCTGCCTTACCCTTTTTGAAGGATCTTTGGTACTGAAAACTGGTAAGTGTCATGGGGACTTTGGGATTTTAACAATCAAGAATGGTTGAACTGGGAAGAAGATTGTTTGTATATCTTTAAATAGCCACGAAATTACACCTAGATAGATATTTTGTTTACTTTTATGGGTACTTTTGTCTTTGGAATCTCTTAAGATACTACAATCAAACAACATAACCAATCAAGCTTGGTTGATGACCCCATAGCAAAAGAACAGCTCTTTAAAAACAGCGTGAATAGATGTCTACTACCAGACAGTGGCTAGGGAGACGAATATGGTCTTCTTGTCCCCAGTCTCCCCTGTCTCCTGCAACACCTGAGGAAATTCTCCAAGATTTCATCCTCTTTGGATTAGGTGTTGCCTTCTTCAGCTTATCTTTAAAATTTAACACCACCACAGAACATAGTGAAGCTATTTGCTCTCTAAATAAATTTGCTATGACTTATTTTATCAAATATTTAAGCAGCAATGATCCTGGTATGGAAGGAAGGAGAGTGTGAGAGGTATGTAGGAGGCATACAGTTGTAGCATGGGGGCTGTATGGGATGAGCCTCTGTGAAGTGCTTCAAGAGGCTAAGAAACACAAAGGTGAATTTGTTCCCTGTAAGGGCTGCTCTGGGCATGTGCTCTTTGAGGATCTTGCCCCATCATTAGCTTCATAGATCACTCAGAGGTCCACTGTACTTGCAGCTCCCAAGACTGATGAAACACCCACCCTCCCAATATGCATCCCTCCTTGCATTACTGAGTCTGAACCTGAACTTCTGGGGTCCTTTACCATCTTCATTCCCTCCGAAGACTCTCTTTCCACTTAAAAATTTCTTTTTATAGAAATGGAATATTTTTTAGATTCCTTTAGAAACGGCATATGGCAAGGCTCATATAGTAAGAGGTGTCATTTGGAAGTCATAAAGTTTGAGCACTATTTATAAAGGTAATGAGTGTGGGTTGGGCTGTCATTAGGGTGAGCTCACAGAAACGTGTATGATTTTAAAATATTCACTTTTGGCAGAAATCATCATCCATGTGGAGGACTTGGTTTTGCAGAAGCACAGTGGTAAACTTGTAATCTCAAATCACCTAAAAGACACTGTCAAACCCAGTTGTATTTCCATTTCGGAGTCCATAGCCAGAGTCAGGGACCTCAGTGCTATGCTTGGCCTGGGTAGAGCCCTTTCAAGTCTGGCGAGTGTCATCTCTGTTACCAGGGCAACATGGGGCCTTTGGTGTTGATTGCCAGGTCAGAGGAACAACAAAGAAGAGACTGATTTTCTAGGCCACTAACATTCCTGAAGGAATCTATGGACTTTAGCCAGATATCTGGCTTTTTTATGACCTCAGTCATTTGACTGTCAATTGTAATACTATATCAACACACACTTTCTGGAGTTTTCCCCCTCAGGTTTTATTGCTTTTCAGACAATAACCTTTAGGCGGGGCTGGTGGCACAATCCTTTAATCCCAGCACTCGGAGGCAGAGACAGGTGGATCTCTGAGAGTTCGAGGCCAGCCTGGTCTACATAGAGAGTTACAGGTCATTTGGGGCTACAGGGAGACTCTGTCTCAAAAAAAGACCAAACAAACAAACAAACAAACAAACAAACAAACAAGAATAACCTTTAAGTCTTCTCTTTCTTGTGGACCTAACAATGGCTAAAAAGTAAACATTGTGCCTATGGGGGTGAAACACCTTCTTGCTTGGCCTCTAATGGAGGTGAAGAAGGTCTATTTTATCAAAGGTTTCTTGTTAATAGCACAAAGCTAATCAAAACTCACAGGCACCTTTAGTTTTAGAAAAAGAAGCACCACACTTTGAATTCATTTGTTTCAAAAATTAAACACCAAAATCAAACCCCAATTTTGTTTCTTTGCTTTGGCTGTTTGAAGGAAGGGGAGCAGGAAAAAGAAACAGATACATAAGTCAAGAAAGGAGATGTAGATAGAGAAGATGAGGAAGAGGCAGAGAGGTGCTCAAGGGGATGGAGAGAGAGAAAGGAGAAATGTTTACAGAAGAGTAATGAAACAGAAGGAGAGGAGAAGAAACAGAAGTTAGGAGAGGGAGAGACAAAAGTTAGTATGTTTTGAGTGAGTCCCTAAAAGGACCATAAGAACAAAGGCCCTTACTTGTATCTTAGCACACTCCTGCAGTGTGCAGCGTGCTCCAAATTCCTTTGTTGGCTGAAGGAAATGAGGTTGGATTATTTCTCTGGACTGTGGACCTCAGAACGTCATTCCTTGTTATCTTCTGGCTGCCAGCTACCATGAGCTCCCTTCATCTCTTGCCCTCTGTGTTTCATCCTTTCGGTGTGTGGAATCTGTACTCATGTACTATAGTCCATTCTTTCTACCTTTCTCTGGGATCCTGCTTCTACAAATATCCAGCTCTCCTCTTCATCTACTGCCTTTCTACACCTTAATTTATAAAGATACTCCAGTCTTAATCATTTCAAAACAAATCACAAACAAACCCAAAAAATTCTTCCCTTATTTTTACCCCCCCTTCCCAACTCCTGTACATGTTCATGTGGGCCCACAAATGTGTGGAGGCCAGAGGTTGATGTTAGGTGTGTTCCTTTATTTTTTCCACTTATTTTTTTCCCCGTTTTCTTTTTAAAATATTTTATTTTTTGTGTATGAGTGTGTTGCCTGAAGGTATGTAAGTGTACGCATGTCATGCAGTGCTCACAGAGGTCAGAGAGGATGTCAGATCCTCCTGGAACTGGAGTTATGGATGGTTGTTAGCTGCCATGTAAGTGCTGGGAATTGAACCCAGGTCCTCTGCAAGAGCAGCCAGTGCTCTTAACCACTGAACCATCTTTCTAGCCCCTCATACAATATATTTTAATCACATTTAGACCCCCTCCCCTATCTGCATCCCCCTTTACCAGCCCTACCCAATTTCATGTACTCTATTACATATAATATTTATTTATTTAAGGCTTATTGAGTCAAATTTGCATCCCCAAATGCCCTTCAGTGTGGGTCCATCCACTGGAGCCTGGTTAACCTACCCAGCATCACACCCTTAAATGAGACTGACTTTCCCTCTCCTAGCAATCAGTTGCCAATAGTTCCTCAGCTAAGATTGGGACTTCTTACTCACTTCTGTACTTGTATGCTGTAAATTTTGTCTGGCTTGAGTTTATGTGGGTCTGTGCATGCCATCACCATAGCTGTGAGTTCATGTGAGTAACTGCCTATCTGTCTGGAAAACTGTTACCTTGTGGTCATATACCCATCTTCTGCAATGCTCCCTGAGCCTTGGAAGGCAGAGACTTGATATAGATATCCTATTCAGGACTTTCTCTGCAAGTTGGCAAGTTGTGGGCCTCTGTGTTAATCATTTGCTGCATAAGGAAGCTCCTCAAGTGAGAGTTCAGAGATGCATTAGTCTATGGGTGTAATAATAAGTCATTAGGAGTTGGTTTAATATTGTGTCCATTTAACAGAATAATAATAGTAGGTTCTTCCCTATGACCTGTGACCTGTCTAGCCACAGGTTCCAGGCCAGATATCAGTGTCAGGTATGGGCTCCATCTTGTGAAGTAGACCTTAAATCGAATCATAAAGTGGTTGGTTATGCCCATAATACTTGTACCATTATTGCACCCGTGTGTATATCTTGCTAGCCCAATTGTTGTTGTAGTTCATAGGATTCATCAGAACTGGGCAAGGCTGATGGCTATATTCTCTTCTGGAGCATGCATAGCACCTTCTAGGACAAATGTATCACCTCTTAACACCTCCTTATGTTCCTTTCTCCCCATGACCAAGTGCCTGCCTGCTCCAACAACTTCTTGCTGTTCCCTACCTCCTGCAATTGCACACTCAGAAAACAAGGAATGACCCAGCACTGCTGGGGCAATGAATTCAGGCAAGGATGTGCAAGTGTTATGAAAGGAGGCAGGGAGGAATGTTTTAAGGCAGAATTATCTTATTTTAAAAACTGAATTTGAATAAATAAATGCTTTATGGAACTGAGAAACATATTCAGGAAGACATAAATTTGGGATAACAGTATAAACAGAAAGAAGAAATAACATGCTATGATGAGAACTGTTCAGAAGTGGGAGGCAGAGGCAGAAATTAAGTCTGGATTTTTCCTTTTCTTTTCTTATCTTTGTTTTTTGTTTGTTTTTGGAGACAAGATCTCACTATGTAGACTAGGCTGGCTTCGAAGTCACAGAGATTCACCTACCTCTGCCTCTGCCTCTGCCTCTGCCTCTGCCTCTGCTGGGAACAAAGGTGTGTGCCACCACACCTGGCCCTTTCCTATCTCTGGACATTGGAGCCAGGTGCAGTGATACACACCTCTAGTTTGAGCTTCAGAGAAGACAGAGGTAGGAGAACAATTTGAGCTCAAGCGTTCAAGGCCAGCCTGGCCAGCATAGACAGGCCTCCGTCTCAAACAAGAATAACTAAAATCTCTGGGCATCAGATGGCTCATCTCTAAAAATGAAGAGAGTGATTTAGATTCACAGAGATTCTTCAAACGTATGAATTGAGGAAAAAAAAATGTGTTCCATGTATATTCCCATCTGTCACTCCAAAGAGTGTGGCAGAAGCTGCAGTGTCAGGGACTTCTGAGCTAATTCTTCAGTATTCTTACCACAGCCCTCAGCTGTACTCCATTACCACCATCTGGGTCACCAGCAATGTTGGTGAATGGAGGGAGGAAGAAACACATACTGCCCAGCTGCCACCTTTTCTCAGCCTTATCTTCGTCTCATAAAAGCCCTAATAACTGCATTTTGCAATGCTCTCAAGGGTTGTTTGCTGACAGGAAGTCATATTATATGAAAACAGACAACCACGTGATAGGATAGATTTGCGAATCACTCCTTAACACTTGCACAGAGCTGCAGCCTTATGACTCCAGCCTCACAGTGTTCAGAAAGCTCTGATTACCTCACTGAAAAGCCAGCCCTGCAGCTCCTGTGTGCTGTCCCCAGGTGACAGTGACAAGTCAGAGTTACCAATGGGCAAAGGAAAGGCATCTCTGGAAGTTCAAATTGAGCTCTGTTACAGGCAATGCCAGTCATACCCACTGAAAGCATTACCACAGATTCCAGCATAGATTAAAGTTTAAAAAGTTTTAAAATTAAACTTATGCATCTTACTGAGAACACATTCAGGGTGGAAGTTCAAGTTTGGCTGCATATTTGGATCATCTGGGGACCTTAAAAACGTATCCTAGCACTCAGACGTCCCTGCTGGAGCTCCTGCTCAATCAATATGGGTGAATCTCTTGCGTAAGAGACCATGTTCCTGATTGGAGTTTTTGAAGGGTGAGGCCAGAACATGAGTGTTCTTTGTCCTTAAAATGGTCACAAAACCGGAATTAATGGAAGGACTTAGAACAAAGGCTGAGAATATTTCTTTATCCTCTGGGTGTTTGTCCATTGATCTACCTGTCCCTCTGGTTATAGTTCTATGTCAAAAGGCATGCAGAAGCCCAAGATAAATATTTGATTCCGCTCAACAATTTCTTTCACTACAAACCTCTTTAAAAACTAGCTTGAGAAAGTTGAAATAGCTTTCTAATAGAATATAACATTCTGATCCGAAAATACGCTGTGAAAAAACATTATTTTAAAATATTCTGATGTTAAAAATTTTAACTTTTCATGGAAATATATAATAAAAAAATAGAAAGCATGAAATTATGAGTATATGAGCTATCGCCAGATAAACAGCGCCATATATTGAATATTTCCTAGTACCCTGATTTCTAATGTTACATAATAGATTTTTCCCCCTGCTTATAAAACTTTATATAAATGGAATCAAACAACTTGTATTTCTTTTCTGGTTACTTTTGCTCAACATTGTGGGATCTATCCACTCTATTAGGCATATCAGTAGCATGTTCTTTTTTATTATTGTGTAGTATTCCACCGAATGAATACCACGGAATTGGATATATAATATTTTCACTGCATTGTCAGGCTTTTCTTTTGTAACCTTTTTTGATTTATTTATTTTTATTTTACGTGTATGAATGTTTTGCCTACGTGTATGTAAGTGCACCCATATTGTGCAAGGCCCGTGGAGGTCGGAAGAGGGCTTCAGAGCCACTGGAACTGGTGTTACAAACCATTGTTAGCCACCATGTGGGTGCTGGGAACCAAACCCAGGTCCTCTGCAAGAGCAGCCAGTGCTCTTAACCGCTGAGCCAACTCTCTAGCCCTCACTGTCAGGTTTTTTACTATAATACTTTGGAAGTTTCATGAGACCTTATTGTAGTTTTAGTTAACATTTCTGATATCTAAGGAAGTGATTATTATCATTTGGGGATGATTTTGGTGAAGTGTCTAAGTTTCATTTCTATTTTTTTCAGTAGGGTTGTCTGATTCTTTAGAAAACAGACAAACATAAGGTATAAAGCCACATTCCTCCCTACATTCTAAAACTGAAGTAGAAATAAACATAGTAAAATAGCTTAAAGTCTTCCTTAAAACAAAAGCAAAGCTTCCTTCCTTTATTCACACATGGGGTACCAAGTCACCAGCACCACATCACAGGCAGGACTGGGCCCTAAATGCAGACACACCTGGGAGGTCAAGTACTCTTCCCTCTACACCAGCCTCTACTGTCTCCCTCTCAGGGAGAGTTCAGAGAGCACGGGAACAATATGCTCACTAATTTCCTTGATGAGTGCTCATCCGTAAGGATGGGTGCTGAGCTTAGTAGTCACAGGCAGGATGGAGCAGAAAGCAGAGAATGACCATGTGTGCCTGCTTACCAGAGCTGAAAGTGCTTGATCTTGGTGACCAGCAGCTTGTAGTGGGCACCAAGTGGAGCCATGGAAGCCACATCTACAAAGATCAGATGCTCCAGAGGGCCTGTTTCATTGGTCGCCTTGGAGGGACATAGTGTGCGGCTGACTTCCTGGTAGTTGTAGCTCCTGTGGGATCTGCAGCAGATGAGGAAGGCCACACCAGCCAGGAGAAAGAGACTTATGAACAGAGACACAGAGAATACCTCATTTCTCTCAAATTTTGCTTTAAGCCTTTGTGTTTTCAGTTTCAGACTGGACCTACTGATAGTAATGCTAGGACTCTTGCTGCTAGTCATAGGTGACAGGGACATAGGGTTTGTTCTGTCCTGACCAGTTCGGCTAGCAGTGTCTATACTTCATTAAGTCTGACTCCAGGAGGGACTCTCCTGATTAAAAACAAAACAAAACAAACGAACAAAAAAACCCAGTGAAGTCAATTTGTTTCCCACAGTCTGTTTTGCTAAAATAGAAGCTACAGAAAAATAAAAGTTTGTAAAATAGAAGTTACATGGTATCAGGTTAAATCTATCCCAGTCAGTATTTCAATCCTCCAATTCTTGCATCTTTATAAACCACGTAACACTTCACTATTTCTCTATGCTTTCTGGGCTTTTGATTAATGCTATAGTGCCTTACAGAACTCTCCTCTGCAAAACAGGCACTCCATGAGGGCAGGGGCTTTGTTGTGTTTTCCCAGCACCTATCACTTAGCGGTACTTTATACCGCAGTGCTCTGGAACAGCCATTTGGAAGAATGGGGTTGGTGGTGCTCATTTCTGTTGACTACAGAACCCAGTCCATTGAACAGCGTATTCAATGAGCCCATTTTGCAAAAAGAGGCACAGAACATTATGATTTTCATTATAAGGTCTTCCAGGTGCTGAAAATCTAAGTAGAAAGGACAGAAAGAGAATAGAGGTGACTAGCTGGGGGTATGCATTGTTTACACTTAGCACACACAGGACCTCAGATGCCAGTGTGTGAGTTCTTTTGCTAAGACAGAAAAACCCAATGAGGTCTAAGGCATTGAAGAACAGCAAATGTAGTGGAGCTGCCAGGAAAAGAATACTTACAGTCCTTGGAAGAGCAGAGGAACCTGCCAGGACAGTACTTCTTTCTGCTGGCGAACCACCACGAGGACTGGATAGTCCAGGTTCTCAGAAGAACTGTTCACATGCACCCGCACGGCCGTCACCTGTGTGGCAGGGTGGGGAGAAGGCAAGGTCACTGATTCCCTACATTGCTCCTCAAGAGGTGATCCAAATGTCCCTGTTGGTTTTTGTCAACTATATTATATCCAGAGTAGGTCTCAACCTTGACTGCACATTGAAATCTCCCCAGGAAATTTATAACAATTGATGCCTGGATCCAACCTGACAAAATTCTGATTCAATTATTCTTGGATGAGGTCAAATTATGGAGCCTTCGAATAGCAGACTGAGGAGTTTGAGCTGAACAGTATACACAAGGCTTCAAGAATAAGTCTGGAACAGGAAAGCACAGATACTAACACACTTTTTTAAAAATACAAATACAAATAATACAAATATCACAAGCCCCAAGCGATCCCAACAACCTACAGGACTCTCAAATTTAATAAGCTTTAATTTGGATGTGATAAATCATCCTGTGTTTCAACCAAAATGTTGTAGGCTTTTCTTTGTTTGCTTTTTTTTTTTTTTTTCAGCAAAACAAAATGCTTTTATTTGGTCCTTGGAGCCTGAGTGGAAACCACCTGTGGAGTCATCGAACAAGGAAGGGACTGACAGCTGATAAAATAGTCTCTGTGTTCGAAGAGCTGGTCCTATTTACAGGGTTAAAAATATTCACAGCTTGGAATAAAAGAAGGCCTAGAGGGGAGGGGCATGTTTCTCTAGATATAAAAATCCTTGCAAGCCCCATGGAGATGAGGACAGTGGGTGTGCAAGTTGCCTACTACCTAGGGACTGCAGGGCAGTGGCAGCCAGGTGGAGGACCCAGGAAATGTCTCAGGCGTCCATGTGGCAGATGAGGGCTCTGGTCTTGACAAGCAGCTGGGGTACACTTAGACAGGTGGGCAGCTCTCAGATTCCTGGTTCGGGGAGGAAGCAACCACACCCTACATGTGCCTGTGATGGGGCTGGGGGTCCCTCTCAGTGGACGGACTGATTCAGAGGCCATCATCCTGCCTTGAGAGCCTGAGCAACCCCTTGTGGGGCTCAGATCTGCTGCTTCTCCCCTTGGTGTGTCCCCAAGCCCAGCTTCCTGCCCCAGTGAGCAGGGCCCCCGATAGCCCTGGCACATGAGCAGCAGATTGGAGGAAGCAGATGCCTGATGGCCACCAGCCAGGGCTTGGAGACAGCAACCCCTCCTGCAACACTATGTAATTCCTGGAGTACCTGCCAGGATCGAAGCCGTGATGGGGCGGCAGGTCAGGAACCAGGCCCAGCCCTGCTGTCTGGAGAAGCGCTTTGTCCTCAGCACCCCTCACCACCACCATTCCTGTACTTTGTTTGCTTTTTAAAAATATTTTATTTATTATTTTTATTTTATGTGTATGAATGTATTGCCCGCATGTATGTAAGCACACCCTTGTGGTGCAATGCTCATGGAGGTCAGAAGAGGGCATTAGATTCTTGGAACTGGAGTTACCGATGGTAGTTAGCTGCCATGTGGGTGCTGGGAACTGAACCCAGGTCCTCTGCAAGAGTAGTCAGTGCTCTTAACCGCTGAGTCATCTCTCCAGACCTTCGTTTATTTGTTTTTACAGCCTAAGGAGGGTCTGTTGCTCCTACCACCAAATCATGGTGCTTCCCCCAGCAGGTCCTGCAGGGACCAAGCAGGCCTCTGCCCTGATCCATGGTAAGTCACTCCCTGACACACAAGCTCTTCTACATGAGCAGGTCCATGGCTCCTTCTGAGAGCCCACTGCACACCAAGACTCAACTCCATTACAGTTGAAGATGGGGAACTAACATCCGGGTCTGGAGCTCTAGGGTTTTGGAGTTTTCCTTACAATGTTTACAATCCATAGACAATATGGAAGAGATCAAAGGACAAAAAGACAAGGTAAAAGAGAAATGTAAAACTTGATCTCCCACAGGAGTTCTTTATTTTCTACTACTTTTCTATTCTCTTGAAAGTTTTTTAAATTAGGGCCTGGGCAGATGGCTCAGCAGTTAAAGCACTTGCCATGTAAATGTGAGGACAGGCATTTAGACCCCCAGAAGCCATGTAAAACATTGGGTAGGTATGCATGCATACCTATATATGCATGTACCCCCATACACACACACACATACACACACACACACACACACACACACACACACGCACACAAAAAATGGAAAAAGAAAAACAAAAAGTTTCTTTATTAGGAGAAAGCAAGCATGAAGATGAATCCTGCCTTGCAAATGCATGCAGGCTGAGGGGAAACAGAGCGGCCTGGGGCCAGGCACACCCCGCTTCCTTCTGTGCAACATACTCCCTGCTCAAGCCATTGTTTCACATTTTTAATGTTAGCACAGCTAAGAGTGATTTGTTAATTTGCTAAGAAGCACTTGGTCCTGTGCCTGCACTAGGTTTCCATGGAAATTGTGTTGCAGCCTGATCACTGTCCAAACCACATCTCCAGTGTGGATTTCTCTCCTAAGCTCTGGGATTTCCACAGGCCCCTCAAACTCAATGTGGCCACATGAAATTCCCCATTCTCCTCACTCCTGACTGTGATCTCTTCAGAAACCCTAGGCTTCGTGAGTGGTTCCACCATGCGGCTGCTCATCTAAGTCTGAAACCTGAGGGTCCTGCTGGGTTCCTACTTCTGACACGTCTAGCTCTTCACACTGTTCAGGTCCAGGCCTTTCTGCCTGACAAGACCACTCTCAGCTCATCCCTTTGCCTCTCTGACAGCCTTTTCTCTCCAGATTTGAGTCTCTCCATGCTTAGGATGCCAGTTTCATCTTCACTCCCCTGTTTAAAAAAGTCACCTTCAGTGGCTCTACAGAATTTCCAATCTTAAAAGATTGATCTATAGCTATCACCTATCATCTATCTATCTATCTATCTATCTATCTATCTATCTATCTATCTATCATCTATCTATCTATCTATCTATCTCTATCATCTATCATCTATCTATCTATCTATCTATCCCTCTATCATCTCTATCTATCTATCTATCTATCTATCTATCTATCTATCTATCTATCATCTATCTATCTATCATCTCTGTGTGGATATGTGTATGTGAATGCAGTGTCCACAGAGGCCAGAAGAGAGTATTGGATCTTCTAGAACTGGAGTTACTGGCAGTTGTTAGCCACTGCGTGTGGGTGCTGGGAACAAAACTCTGCTCCTCTGCAAGAGCAGCAAGCACTCTTAACTGCTGAGCCATCTCCCCAGCACAAGAATTTTCAATCTTATATCAAAGTAACAAGAAAGCTGTAATTGTTGGGAAAAAAAATGAAATACCTTGATGAATGCTGTAAGAACTCTGCATTTTGATAGAAAACTCTGTTTAAAATGTTGATTTAGATTTACTTGCTAAGCTTGCCTGTTCTGCCTGATTTGTATCTACCACACATGGATGATTAACCTAGTTGAAATGCTAAGAATTGAAGTGCTGTAAACCTCCTTCCTGGACCCTGGACCCCAGACTCAGTTGCTTTACAATGTGTCCTGTAGGCCTGTTTGCACACACCAGATAACTGATAAGGAACAAAAGAGGGAGGTTGCGCCAGGCTTACACCAGATCTACCCTTCCTGGAAAAGATGTTTAACCGAAACTATAGCTTTTAGAAGATGTTTGATCAAAGTGTATGCTGAGGAATGCTTTTTGTGTAATGACTATGTGGGCCTATATAATCTGTATCTGAAAATGAATGGGGGTCGATCGTTCTGACCAGACTTGCATGTCTTGGGAAGCCAGTCGACCCCAGCTAGCTGGAAAGTAAAGACTCTGCTTGATTTTTACATCTCCAATCCCGTGTATTTGTTA